ACAAGTTTTGATGAAGTTGCAGTCACAACAACCATCTATTAGGGACCCGCAGCCGTACCAGTACGTGTGACCCATTTATCAAGCAGCAGCCCAAAGACAATCAAAATTAACGCACGACGACGACGACAAAGGCGAGGAGGTCTGGTCAATCACAATCTCGCTCCCATGCTCCCAGTAACTCCTGCACCTCCTCCCTGTACTACGTATGTGTGTGTGTGTGTGTGTGTGGGCTTGTAATTTGTACAAGCTGCTGTTGTCGTCGTTGTCATTAAAAAGCCATTTCGCCCATATATCATCGGTGGAGAAGGCATCCCACGCTCACGCCCACGTCCTGCCTGCCTGCCCTACTGCCTGCCCGACTGCCAGGCATATAAATTACTTTATGATATTGTTTTGAACCTGCGCGACAAATAATATTGTCAGCGATTCAAGGGGGAAGGTTGAATGGCGCGAAATTGGAGCGGAGTGAGAGAGAGAGAGAGCGAGGGAGAGAGCGGACCAGAGGTCATGTCGCCAGCTGGCAGCATCAAAAATTGAAAGTTTCTGCTCTCGAATTGAGATTTAGTCGAGCGAGTGAAGCGCTTTAACCGCACTTATGGCCCATTTGAATATCCTGTGATCCTGTCTGACTGCCACTTGGATTGGATTGGACTTGGGGTATAGCTTACAGCTTACAGCTTACAGCTGTGCGTGTGTGTCCGGGCAATAAAAATGTCAGGGGCAACTGTCACAGAGACAGACTTTTCTTCTTTTTGGACAGGGAGCCCTTTTGTTATCAGCCCAAAGAGAGAGAGAGACGTTGAGGACTGCGAACAGCCAACCGAGGGCTAAGGGCTGAAGGCTGAAGGAAGTAAGGACATCAGTGTCAATTCAATTTTATTTTCATTGTGTCATAACAATAACATAAAATTAAAATAACATAAAAAGGAAATTGAGGATGCATACACATTCTCGTATGGATGAAGTGTGGCGGCCAGGAAGGGCTTCTGCTGCTGGGGGGGATAGCGGTGCAAATCAACGCGGCGGAAAATCGTCAGGCAGTGTGTTGGTGGGGGAATGGGGTTGTGTTGTTATCCTTTGCTTACATTTCATCAGTGGCAAACATTTTAAAAAGGACAACAAACACACACAGAAAAGGGGAAAAGGAAGAATGAGGCATGCTACGGCACGGCAAAGCAAAGCAAAGCAAAGGAACGGAACTGAAGACAGCGGACAAAAGTTGTGCATAAAACAGGAAACGGAAACACATCAGCGTAACGGAAGTCAAAAAGTCGTCACATTCACATAACAATGATGGCAGCCGTCTCCTCCTGCTGCTCCAGCTGCTGCTGCTGCTGCTCCTCCTCATGGCAGCCCTCATTGTTTTGCCCTTTTTTTAGCCCCCATGGTGGTGGCGTGGAAGCTTTTCATGACGTAACAACATTTATGGCGTAAAGTAAGTAACGTAATAATGTCGCCAACAGTTGCCAAAAAAGAGAGAATCAAAGGCGGAGCACTGGACGATGGCAGCGACAATGGCTGCCCCCATTTGTTGGCTCTTCCTTTTTTCTGCTTATCCTTCTGCTCTGCTGGCCGAAACGGACTGGGTTCAGGATAACTCCGCTGTCTGGCTGCTGTTGTCATCGTGCCCGCCGTTGCCATTGTCATTGTCTTTTTGTCGTTGTCAGGAATTCATTTGGAAAATTAATAAAAATATATACACAACAGAGGCAGCCCCAGTGGGTGCGTGAAGCAAATGTAGGTGGCACTCTCAGCTCTCAGCTCCGTTTCGAGCTGATCCTGCGGGCGCTTTAAGTGTCACAGCTTTAAGAGTCCTGCGTCCGCACCCACTTAACCCCCAGTTGGAGCCTCAATTACTTTGGTTTCCCTGAGTGCTCGCAGCACATCATTAATGCCACACAATCTGATGAACATAATTCACCCGCGCGAATCGAACAATTCAAATTTTCATTCACTGCAGAACATTATCTTACCGCCCAGAAGGATATCCATCCAATTGAGGGGGGCGACAATTTTTCAATTTCCCCTGCCACGGCAGCGAGCGCTTATTTCGAATACAATTCGATTAGAAATGCTTTGCTTTTCGAAATAATAAATTAAATTTTGTGGCACTCCTAGTCCCACACCGCCCTGCAATTGCCAATGCCATTAACACCATCTAGGACTGGGTTGGCTTGGGGCACGCTTGCCGCCTGGCGGGGTGCAAAAGGTTGCGAAATTGCGAGACGAGCCTTGTTTGGGGAATTCCTGTGGCAACGGCCTGGAAATAGAAACGGAAAAAGCGAAACAGCGACACAGCGACACAGCGGCACAGCGCGGCATGCGACGCCGAATCAATTTCCTCCAAACAGAGCAGAACAGAACAGAACAGAACAGATCCTTAGAGCCTGCGAGGGCTTTTCTTAAAATAACAAAATTACTTTTTATATGCAACCCAAGTCAAGCCAAGCCAAGCCAAACCAAACCAAACCCAACCCAACCAAGGCGAGTCGTGCCACAGAGGCAGTGGCAACAGAATGCCATTGACAACCATTAATCATGGACGCCTGTCAGGGCGGGTTCACTGGCTCAGAGAGAAGCAGCAGCAGAGTGAGAGGTGTGTGTGTGCCCTGCCTGGCTGTCTGCTGATTGTCCTGCACTGCAATGTGTGTGGGGTTTGTTTTTTTTTTTTTGCTATTTTTTATTTCTAAACTTTGCCTTTTACATGCTAATGCATGGCAGTGGGGCTCAAGTCATGCTCATGCTCGTAGTCGGAGGCACAAGCTCGTGCCCCTGTCCTGGCCACGCCCAGCTGCGAAATTGACAAGCAAGCCGAGTGCGTTGTGTGACATGACACTTGCAAAGGACCAGGACCTGGTCGAGCAGTAGCCCAGGATCCTGCTCTGGAGCTGGGACGTGGGCGTGTGCCAAGGCAGGAAGGCAGGCAGGAAGGCAGGCAGGCAGGTTATGTATGCCATCATTAGACGTGGTCCGTTTGCCACGCCCGTGCTGTTGCAAATTGGCAGCTCGGCAATGGACGGCCATCATGTCAAGTTGGACAAGAAGATGGGTGGAGGGCAGTGGGGCAGAATGCATGTATCTGCGCTCGCTCCCTGCTCTCATGTTGATGGCAAGTCAAAGTTCAGTGCGAAAAGCCAAAATTCCAATTGCCAAGATGCAAGTGGGAGGTGGGTGGAGCCATTGCCGGCTGGGAGACATTGCCTAATTGCACAGTTTATGGGGTTGCAGGTTGCAGGTTGCAGGATGGTGCACGGTGCATGCTGCATGTCTGGGTGCATGTCATAAAGTGCAAATGTTGGCCTGGCCCCGCCTGGAGGCAGCCATCGAAAATTGCGAATTTCCCGCTGAAACTGTGATTTGTGTGTGCTGGCTGATGCTTGACATGCATTTTCAATTTAAAGGACAACACCTCACAGACCCCAAACCCCATCCAGAATGCAGTTCTCTCTTCTCTCTGTGCATCTGCTGGCCAATAATGAATTCCATTCGTTTTGTCTGCCCCACAGCCACCCAGCCATCCCAGCCATCCCAGCCGACACTGTTCATTTATGCAATTGCAAATGCATTTTGTTCTCGGCCAAAGTTGCGAGTTCCAGCCAAGGAAACGTGACGGAGCAGGACCATACCTCCAACCTCATCAGGCACGATAAAACTTTATGCACTCTGCAAAAGGAGCCACTACGGAGCAGCAGAGAACCGGAGGACTGGAGCACTGGTGGACCGGAGGACCGGACTCAGCATTGACATTTCAAGTGGACCCCATCCAGCGGGGGCTCACGGAAGCGCCATCAGAATAGTTTTAATAATGCACAAGACGACGGCACAAACGAGTCCAACTAAAGTCTGCAGCATAAAATCCAGGACATACGAGGACGAGAACGGTTCACAGTAGCAGGACGAAGGGTACAGGCGGGGTCAGGAGGGGCCAGCCCAGGCAGATAAGACCGGCACTGTCCTGTCCAAGTGCTGGCCAAGTAAAGGAAAGAAATGCTAGGGAACAAGAAACTGAAGGGGAACCTGTACCGGGAACATGGCACAGCGATGGCGGACGGAAGAACAAACATGAAAATTCAATGCAACTTTGTCTATTCGATGTCAAAATGAATACTTTTGCATTATTTATGTCGGCGCATTTGTTTGTTCAACTACAACCGATAACGAAGGCAGTAGCGGGGCGAAGGGGGCCAGTGGGGTAGTGCAAAAGAAATGAGGGGCACAGGTGACGTACCCATTGAATGTCTGTAACGAATTCCGCCCCATATTTAAAGCTTTAAGTGGAGAGCATGGAGGAACGTGGCTGACAAATGTGGAAGAGATCGGTGCTCTAATTTATTGCATACTTTCAGGCGGAGTCAAACAATTCTACATGCAATTGTTTGTGTAGAATTCTGTGTAGAATTCATGTAAGAAGTTCTTTGTGTGTAATGCAATTGTGTTAATATTTAAAATAACTAATAGAAATGAGCTGAATGAAGTGAAGTTCGGCTGAGTTACTTATTCATTGATTCTTGCTAGACATTATCTTGGATTGTTTCCATGGCTGTACCTCTAAAGTACGAGAACAAAGTACTTGCAGTGATGAATATGTTCCTTGAGAAACCTTTTCTGCTGATTTATTCCGCAAAGTTATAACACCTCACTCCCCACATTCGGATTTCTTCATCAACAAACAGGAATTAGATAATCCTTTTCAGATAACCTCCCTATACCTACACCATTCTCTGTTTACCCAACACATGTGTGGAATACATTGGAATTTGGAATACTTTCACTCCCTCATGCCGCTTCAGAGACCTCTTCAAGAGATGTTCTTCTGGTGACTTCCAGCCAGTCAAGTGTCCACTTCAGATGGTCCGGCGAATGGCATTGTAATTTTGGGACAGCCATAAAAATACGCAGAGGCAGCGTCGAGTGGTGAATGTTGGTGTAATGTGCTGAAGAGACAGGACACTTCAGTCAGGACATGTGTATGAGTCCGAAACCACTTGAAAGTCTTTAGCTGTCTGTGAAGTGCATTTATTTGGTCATTCCATTCTTATATGTATCCGCATCCCCCCCTTCATTACTCCTCCTTGCGGTCCACAAACTTAAACTTGAAGGGAATATTCGGCTGAACAAAGAAATGAGTCTTGAAGGCATTCTCAATGGGATAGTCGAAGCCAATCTCAAAGTTCCTCACCAGCCGGGCGACGGCTATCTCCAGCATCATGTCCACGATCCGCTTGCCGGCGCAGGCCCGCGGCCCGAAGCCAAAGGGCAGATACATGAAGGGAGTGGCCGTCTCTCCTACCAGCCTCGAGCTGGACTCGTCACGCAGCCAGCGCTCGGGCAGGAACTCCCGCACCCTGGGTACATACTTCTCCAAGTTGGCCATCTGATAGTTGGCCGCTATGGCCACATCGGTGCCTGCGACGATGCGATAGCCACTGAGTACCACGTCGTGGGGCATGCGGCGCACGGTGCCCGGTCCAATGGGATAGAGGCGAATGCCCTCCTTGATGCAGGCCCGCAGATAGGGCAGACTGCTCATGTTCTCCATGTTCAGGGGCGAATCCTTGGCCGGCAGTATCGGCTTGAGCTCCTCGAGAAGTCGAGCCTGCTTGTCGGGGTTCTTGGCCAGACTAAGCAGAATGCCACCCAGGCTGACGAGGGTCTGCAAAGGAAGAGGATTACTTACAGCTGCATCAATCGGAGAATCGGAGTTGAACCTACCGGATCTGCGCCAGCAAAGAGAAAGTCCATGGCAATGATGATGGCAGCTTGGCGATCGAAGCGAGCTAACTTCTCCAGCAGACTTGCCTCCAATCCCACATCCGAGGAAATTTTACCAGCCTTGACATCCTCCTCGATGCGCTTCAGCGCCTCCTCAATGTGAACGCAACAGAAGTCCGTGATGGTGTCCAGGGAGCGCATCAGTCGCGTGAACTTTGGCACTGGCAGATACTTCCAGATGGGCGGCAGCATGTCCAGCTGGAAGCCCAGCTCGGTGACGTCTTGCAGGGCAGCTTTTAGCTGCTTGGCCTCCTGGCTGTCGCGGTTCTCGCCCAGCAGACCCAGATGGGTGTTGAGAGCCACCGAGCCTATGGATTCGATTACCAAGTTGCGAATGTCCTCGGTAAAGTCATCAGGCATTTCCTGGCTAACCGGATCGCGGATGAGGCGAATGCTGCAAGACACAAGACTCGGAAATTGAGCAGACCAAGTAAGGAGAAATCCACTCACCGTTCCAGAAACTCATCGCTGACCTGCACGAGGTTCTTCAGGTACAACTTGGCATTGCGGGGCTGCAGCAGGATCGGATTTACAGCCGTTCGCAACTTGCCCCAAGCAGGACCATTCCTAATTGAGTGATAAATGTCAGAAAAGGAGCCCGAAGAGCTGCTTCAAACTCACCCAGAGACCAAGCCGTCGTACTCCCCAAACACCTCTGGCCTGCGCTTCTTTCTGAAGTATTCGACAGTGGTGAAGTTTCGTCTGTGTGGCCACTGGCCCTCGTTGCGGAAGACCTTCGCATAGTCTGGGGGGTTCATGGTCAAGACCATGTCGGTGCCCGCAAGGCTGGGCAAGCGAAAGAGCCCTCCATACTGGCGACTCAAATCCAGAAACATTTCATGGGTGGGCACATTTTGGTAGCGGCCTGCAGCGGGAATTATGCAGATCAATCAGCGAGAGAGCTTTTCGGCAAAAAGCTTTTGTCCACTTCTCACTTACCGCCCGGCATAAAAGCTCTTATCATGTGGAACTTAGTTGGACCCGGCACCTCCGAATAGGGCTTAGCCTGCTCCAAGCTAATCGTTTCCACAGCTGTAGAAGTCTGCAAAGTTTAACAATAAATGTTTATAAAAGTGTTAACTAAATGTATATCTACTCACTTTGCTGGCCACATTCCTATACAGCTGATAGATCTGCCACGAGGCCTGTCTTCTTGCGTTCAACTGCAGCGACAACATATTGAAGACTGCTCACTCGCTTCATTTCTTTAATAAACCCAGTGCGAGAGAGAGAAAGCTCTGGCAAAGCTCTCTCAGCATGAGATAATTTTATTAATTTTGTTTATGTTTTTCATTCTTTGCCTCTCTATTTTGGTTTGTTTATCTGTGCGCGCTTTTTGCTAGCTTTATTCGTATTTTGATTAATACGAACAAAATTGATTAACTTGACCTTGGGATGTGGTCTAAAAAGCTTTACTAATTATTTAAATAGATCCAAATGATGACACAACTTTTATCTATCCAAGTTATGCATTTGTACACTCTCCACTACTAAGATCCGCTTTCACTTCTTTCGCTTTAAAAATCTTGCCCCAAACTAAACCCAGAGGCAGAAACAAAATTCAAGCCTGTCACAAACAGCACACAGGGCAGGGTGATGGGGGGGGTGCAGCAGACAAAGGCAATATCTGCCGTGACAGAAAATCTATATAGACGCGGCCCAGACTAACGGGGGCTATAATAAAATCGATTTTTTATGTTTTGGGCAAGTGACGGGCAAGGACGCGTGGCATCGGGTCTGCCGTCTCCCGTCACGCGTCTCGACCAGCGGGACCCATAAATATGGGCACACAAACACACACCGCGCTCGCCACTCTCCACTCGCACACAGACAGCGCGGCAGACGACAGCTGATGATGGGGCATACAAAAGTTGACCTCGACTTTGAGCTGTCAAAGGCAGCTAACTAAACTGACCTAAACCAACAAAAATCAACTTTTGCCGCCTAAACACCAGGCCCTGAGCATGACGGGCCCGCAAAAGGGAGAGTCCGCCAAGGGCAGTGATGGGTGGGTAAGCGGGGAAGCGGGGAAGTAGGCGTTTAAATACAAAATATCAGCATGACGCAATGATTTCCGGTCGTAGTGAAAATGAAACCTGTTGGAATCAGGAGCCGAGAGACGAGAGAGCCCAGAGTACTGGTAGCTGGGAGCTGGGCTGCCATCGCTGTTGGCAATATAAACAAATTCAATTTGACAGCTGACAGCAGAGACGACGAGAAGAAAGGAGACCCAATAGAGAGAGATAGAGAGAGAGTGAAAGGGAGAGAGAGAGAGAGAGAGAGAGAGAGTTACACACACATACAGTAACAACACAAAAGCCGCAAGTAATAAAGTTTTACGATCTGTTTTACGGCGACGCGGCACGTGCAACTAGGCCCAGCAGCATCGAGAGGGACATAGATGAGGGGGGGGGGGGGGGGGGGGGGGGGGGGGGGGGGGGGCTGCCGCGGGGTTGCAACATAAATTTAATGAAGCTAAAAGTGAGGCGCAACAACAATGCAAACAACCCACACACAAACACAAGCGCAGCCATAGAGCGAAAGGCACATGTTGAGGCTGAACGGAGGCTGCGGCAATAAAAGTAAAATAAAAGTAAATTGTTCAAGGACAGCCATATTTTATGTTATTATTTTACAAACAGCTGACTGCCATAGAAGGCAAAAGAGAGAGTGAGAGAAGGACAGACAGTGTTTGCCAACGGAAAGGGACAGTCATTTATTTTGCAACGAAATTTTGTACAAATTTCGCCGCATGTCGCCAGAAAGGGGGGGATCCTTATACAGGTCCTGCTGCTGCTGCTGCTGCTGCTGCTTCTGCTGCTGCTGCTTATCCCACTAATGTGGCTATTCCTGCCGACACAAAAATGTCAGAAGCACTCCAAGAGAAAGGACTTTGCCACTGTGCTTGCCACAAACGCCATTGATGGATGATTCTTACTGGCCCCTTGCCATGCTGCCATCCTGCTTTCTGCAGCCTGCTCCATCCGACATTCGTGTGGCAAAATAAAAGCACTAAAACTTTGCAATTTGTATGGAATACATCAGGACAGGACAGGACAGGAGTGGAGTGGAGCAGCCAACGAAACAGCCACCAAAAGTTGCCGTGGTCCCAGACGCAGACATGGGCCAGAAAGAGGCGGCACGACACACGACGCACGACTCACGGTGTGCCCCGAGTCCGTCCTGTTCCGAGTTTCCAGTTGTGAGTTCTGAGTTATAGAAACCCATAACCTGCACTCCTCTCTCTACCTTTCTCTGTCTCTCTTTTCTTTCTCTCGCTCTCTTTTTGCTCTGGCTCTGGCTCTGGCTCTGGCGCTGAGTGGAGCGCGCTTTATGATTGCCAGGCATAAATAAGCGGCAAAAGCACCCCAATGACGATGAGGACAACGAGGGTGGTGGTCCTGTGGGCACTGCCAAAGTGCACTTCCTGTGTCCTTTCACTGCTTTGCCACCAATTGCTGCCAGCAGCAGGAGCAGGAGCAGGAGCAGCAGAGCTTGCGCTCTGGTTCCCGGCTCGGGTTCACCTGCCTTAGCCGACTCACTGCCGGCCGTGTCCTTTTTATCCTGTGCACTCTAGCATTGGGGCTGTCAACGCCGCCGACAGCTGGATAAATGTGTATCTATGTGTGTACAGCTTTGCCCGCTGCCCGCTGCCCCCTGCCTCTCCTCCTGGGGCATCCCTCTGCACGCCCTCCTTCTATGGTGATGTTTGTCTGCGCATCTTCTCTCTGCGGCGGAGTGGGAGCTGTGTAGGTTCGTGGATGATTGTTGGTTGAGGCAAAGTAGCAATTCATCATAGAAAATGGCGGAAGTAATCGCCCCTTTATGGGGGTGTGTGTCTGTGTGTGTGTGTGTCAGTCTCTTATTTGGGCATCAATTAAAACCCAAAAGCGACGTATGATAATGCAACTTTAAGCGAATTTAAGAGCAAATAAAATTCAGTTAATCTTTGCAAAATTAAAGCACAAATAAATATCTGCTGTTTGCTGCTGTTTCTATTCCTTTATGATCTGCCATGAGTCGGTCACAAATCCAACTACTTAACACTTCCGCAGACAGATGGAACTATAACCATCAAATGACACTTGCCACACCCTCAAGCATCCGCAGTGCCTCTTGGCGACACGAAAAACGCATCACCCAGTCACATAAAGTGCCCATGCCACATTTTACTACAGAGGATAGGGAGCAGAGGGCAGACTCATCAAATTTGGCTTACGAGTCTGGGCATTTAGTTAATTTTAAATGCTGATTAGCGCAGTTTAGAGCGCCTCAAATGGAGGCGGTAATGGCAGACCTTGAAAGTCAAGTGCCACAGCAAAACCCGAGACCCAATGCCCAAGTGGATTCGGCAAGAGCCCAGCAGCATATGTGAAGGGTAAATTATAATTTTATTATCATTACCAGCGGGGCTGGAGTGTCTTATCAGCAAAGTTTTACGAGGCCACAGATCGCATAGGGGTCGGTCATGTTCTCGCTCTGTCTCTGTGTCGCTGTTATCCTTTGCCAAATGAAAATAAACTGTAGCTTAAAATGTTTACGATGCGTTGACGACATCGTCAGGGGTCAGGGGCTGGCCCACTCTCTGTCTGGCCCGTGCGGGTTTATGGCTCTTTTATGCGCTTTTTATGCTTCATTCCTAACCTCAATTTAATTGTTTAGCCGGTGACAATCATTACCCCCAACATATGTACTCTCGGAGAGACAGGCAGTGGCAGACGGACTGGCTGGCCGGGGCTCTCTGAGTTTTACGACTCTAAGGAGCTGTCAATTTGATGTCCTCAATGTGCCATTGACAAGAATGCCCTCCCACATCCACACACCCATCATTGTTGTAATAAAAACATGAAGATTACACTTTATGGCCATGACGAACTCGTCGGAAGTTGTAAAACACTCAAGTGTAATGATGCCAGAGCTTTGCATCCGCCTCGACTTTGACTTCGCCACCGACACTTTCCCTTCTACTAAGTTTTGGGACGCCGACTGCTACTGCGGGTGTGAAAACTAACGCCAGGCTTTTCATTGGCAGCTGCTTCCTGCGCTCGAGAAGGACTCATTTAACGACTCTGCGATTTACGATGATAACATCTTCGATGCATCCAGTCGCTTATTACTTTTCTATTACATTATAATTTACAGCATTTGATGGCTGCTGGATTTTTACGTTCATTAAATGGCGATGCACAGATTTGTCATTTGGCTTGTTAAATAAAGCGCAAAATTTACAGGTTGTCAAGAAGGGAATCTCCCATCTACCATCTACCATCTTCCATCTCCCATACACTTCAGCACTGAGAAATCCTGGATGGTAGTCGTAAAAGCATTGAGCTATTTGTGCTGCTGCCTTTTTTTATAGCCAAGCTGTTGGATAACAAAATGTGGTCGCCATCCTTAGCCTTGATCCCTTTTCTGGCCAGGGGCTTGAAGGTGTAAAAATGTTCTTGCCATTACTGTTATTGTTTTTACTGCCAGTCTTACTGCTTTCTGTCTGTATCTCAGTGCTGGAGTTGGTCCTGGTCCCGGTTCTGCCGCTCGTCTTGCCATTCCTTGGCGCTGTTTATTCAAGCGCGAAAATGGATTCGTTTTTTACGACTTGATTATTATGACTCCGACTGCGTTTGATTACAAATATTATGCCAGAGAATGGCCCCCAGCCAAGGGGCACTTTGCTCTGCTTTCCCATGTTTTTGTTTGTTGCTTTTTATTCTAGGTTTTGTAGTGCTGCTCACTGAAGTTGCAAATGGTTTTGGTTTTTGATTTTGTCGAGCAATTTGTTGCTTATGTTTATAAATGAGGCATCGTTCGATGCAGTCACACCAAAGTCCCTGGTCAAAGAAAGCGAGTTTGAAAGAATGAAACCTGGATCAAACACTATGGTCAATGCTCTTGACTTTGCTTGAGGTGTCTCCAAATATTTGCTTGATTAAATTCTGCACCCTGTCCCTGGCCAGGACAATGAAGCTGCTGCTGGCCCGACACTCACGATGGCATGAAGAAACAATTTTCCTTGGCTTCTTGTGGAGAAAAGTGCAATAAAATAAAATTAAATCTGCAATTTTGAGGTTTTTGTGTGGGCCATAAAAAGTGTCTGCAACTGTGTCTGGGCTCTGGCGTGGCTGTCTGGACGAAGGTCTTACCTTTGACCCAGCTAAGCGGCAGCCATGCAAAAACTTCTGCTTCAACTGCAGCTTGATTAAAAATTGAAACAACTTTG